TAAATATAATAAAAATATATAAAAATTCATGAAAAATACGATTATAAATGATGTTTGTTGTGAAAATATAGAATTGATTTTTTCTTTTAGGTAAAAGATTCTAAGGCTTATTCACCGCAATCGTCGAGTAGACTCTTGGATTTGATTGATACAGCGATCTTTGATTTCCTTATGGATAATGGTGATCGCCATCATTATGAACTCGCACAAAACAATTTTCATAATCCTGCAGTGCTACTGATCGATAATGGAAAGAGTCTAGGAAATCCTGATGTTGATCATCTCGACATCTTAGCGCCTCTATATCAGTGTTGCATGTGAGTATAATTTATATTTGCTGCAAAAGTTATGGAATTAAAAGATATGAGAAGTCTTTAACATATTTCTTGCTTACAAAATTTGAAATCTTTGAATCTGTTAAATAGTTTCCTTGTTCATTATGGCGTTTAGAAACTATGTAAAAAGAGACAGCAATTAAAGAAAAGAACAAAACTGGAACAGATGTATTTTATTCTAGGATTCACAAAACTACGTGGGACAGGTTGCGATTATTTAGTGGTGGATCTCTAGGCATCGCATTAGGTAGACTTCTTGCACACGAGGCTGTAATGTCAGATGTTTCTCCACTCATCACGGAGGCACACTTAAATGCCATGAATAGAAGACTGCTTACCGTTTATGCCGTAATAGAAAATTGTCTGAAGAAAAAGAAGTACATTTCTAATGTGATTTTGGATCATCGGTAATCTAAGAACAATTCTATAGGAGTCAGAATACATAGATATAAAAATGTAAATGTTCCTTATAAAAAATAGATAGAAAATGAAGATTAATTGTTTAATTAAAAGTTAATGAAATTAAAAAATTAATAAAAAAATAATATTCAAGAGAGATTTACGCAGAAAAATTAAAATAAACATTCTTTTGTAGGAAAAGAGAGAGAGATATAAGAAAAAAAAATATTTAAAAAAATCTTAATATAAATTTTTTTAAATTTTATTTGGTAATTCGAAAATAAATTTTCAATTATATAATTTTAATTTTAATATTTTGATGAAATATTGCTTTTGCATAGATTATATTCTTCATTATTTTTTAGAAATAATCCCTTGAAGCATGACAATTTTTTCTTAACTAGTAATGAACGTAAGGTTTAAAATGAGAAAGGTCAAAGACAGATTTGAATGCAATTTATTTGATGACACAGTTAATTATCGTTATTTGAATAGAGTTTGAAGTGCAGCGCTGTGTACAGCGTATATATAAATACGGTACAAACGTAAAAAACCTGTAAATGCGACTGTATTATCGTATGTGTAACGTTGACATGCCCTCCTCTTCTTCATCGCAGGAGACACCATGCCATCGATCATGTACATTATTATATATAGTCTTCGTGGATGCCGTTATCTCCTGTGATCGTAACTATTCAGTAAACATCACATTTTTAGTTTTCTTACATTCTTTTTTATGAGAATATAAGATATAAAACCGTTAATTTTTTTTTAAAGTCTTATCTGAAACATAATCAAAATTTCTAATTTAAAATTTAAAAAATTGAGAATAAAATTGATCGAAATAATTATAATTTTATATTTACTTTCTTGAGTAATGTTTTTAAATATTATTCTAAAATTATATATAATAGACAAAATTAATAATTCATTGATAATTCATAAAAAAAGACTTCTTTTCGATGATAAAAAGAGTATATAAGGAGTATGTCGATCGCAAAATATACATTCCAAGAATAAAGAAAGAAAGTAAGAATAAAAAATTACAAATAAAATTATCACAGAAGATATCGGGGCCCATTCGTATGGGACTTCAAATCGAATTTGCACATCTAGCGTAATCTATCTTGGTTTGTGTTTCGTATTTACAACGTTACATGACCAGAATTATTCACGTACCTTACAAACTAGTTAGAAATTTTATTTTTGTCGTGTGTATATATATATTTATATATTTATATATATAATATTTAACGCCATCGTCGTTCAGGTATGAATGTATATACTATCTATATATATATATATTATATTAACATTCTTTAATTAAATAGAGCTTTCGTAGCAAAGTATGTATAAATAGACTATTTTTGCACAGACCATGATCCTTTCGAACTCGTTCGCTTTATCTCATCTGACTGCTTATATGAATGAGAATCGTCTGTTTATTTATCCTTGAGATCTGTCTACATTTAGATAATTTTACCTGAAAAATAATCGGACGAAAGAGGAATTTCTGTTCTTTGAGAATTCCTCGGTTCGAAACCGCTTTCTTTTTACGCCATTAATACTGTATATATGCCAACGACAAAATCGATACGATTTTTTTTTCAACGCGCTCGTATCTTGTCGTAAATGAAAAAATGCGTTCCATTAAAATAGAAACGGCTTCCGCAAACGGGGCAGCGTATAGAAATTATTGCATCACGTTCGCGTGTACGCTTCATGAAAAATTAATAGGCCGAAAGAAATTGGTCAACGATCATTTAACAAAATCATTTGATATTTCTAAGATGTTAATATTGCTAATTCTTTAAAAAAATAAATTACGAAGATAAATAAAAAATAAAAAAATGTATTTGAAATAATTTGACCAAGAAATTAATATTTTTATTATCTCCGATTTATTCTCTTTTTTTTTATTTCCATTAATTTTATTTCTGTAAAATATAGAACGAATTAAAAACATTTTATTTAATTTTCCGAATCTTCAATGACTTTAACATTGATTAAAAGTTACAAAAAAATATAAAACTTCATAAAATTATTTCTTTCGGTTTATCTATTTTTCTTAGCGAAAAGTCGCCGTTTATTCATTTTTCGTCTTATTTAATATTACATATCACACCTAGATGCTGGATGCACGTAGAAATCTATAAATATAGGCCAGCTTTTATAGGCATTTCAAATCCCTCTTAGCTTTTCATTTTACGAAGCTTTTGTTGGTATTAAAATAGTGCGATCTTAAAATAGCTGGCGTTTTGTGATTTCTTTTAATCTTATTGCATTTCAGAGGGTTCTTAAATATGCAATTTGATGTTTATTACGATAAAGAATTATCGCTAATGTTTAATTGCGCTCTTATCTCGATTCGGAAGTACGATTTAGTGATACCTGTAACTTTCTTTCTTGAGTTTTTAATCTTAGAAACATTGCACTGATTATTTTCCCTGATATAAAGATATTCCTCGTTTAATTATCTTTTATTTATAAATAATTCTCTCTTGCTCTGAATTCGGCGATTGGAATAATTGTTTATTTCTCAGAGCTATTGATCTTACCTTTTTTGTAATATTTTTAATTGAACGGTCGCGCGTTATGCATATATATATATATCGATCTTTCGGCGATGAATTTTGTTTATGATATCTTGCTAATTTAGAGTGCCGATTCTACTCCTCTTGACGAAGATGTCGAACTGCTCAAATCCTCTGAATGACGAGTATGTGATGAATCAAGAGACGTCACCGAGTCGCTGTCGTTACTATGTGGACTTGAGTAATTAGCTGCTTCCTGAAGCCTCATTAGCATGTTAAGCTATAAAAATAGATATAAGAAAATTGAAGTCGACTAATTAATGAAGTCCTTGGTTACCATTGAACAGCTTATAATACATATAAAGTGTAAGTAAGTAAAACAAATTTCTCTACAATTAATATGCACATTTCATCTTCCTTCTTTTTGTTACAATTGCTATTTATTTAGAAAAATATAATTTTCTATGATGTAAGAAAAATATATAATTTATTTATTTAAAAATTATTATTATTATATTCAACAGTTTATTTAGCTGAATTTTTTAAATGATTAATATCGCGTTCTGCGCGAATATATATATATATATTTTAAAGTTTCTGAATCTCAATACTAACCAGAGGATCTCCTTCGGTATCACTATGAGTACTTCCAAGGCTCTTTACGCTGGAGGCGCCTACACCGGAAGTGTGCCCGCTGGAGACGACATCATATCCCACGTCTTCGGGTCTCAGACGTAGAAGAGCATCGCTGCCGCCGTGCACGGCATGCGTCGAAAGCCATGGATAGCTCGATGTGATGAATTGCGCTGGATCTTCCCATGCCGATTCGCCATTTCCGTTCCCGCTTACGCGTCTTCCGTATAGCGTCAATCCTTCTCTGACCGCTTCCACTAAATAAGGTATTACCGAATAGTTCCACAGATCGGTAAACCACACTTGAGATCCAGCCACTTCCATTGGACACGATAAAAACAGCCGCGGTCCTGTTTAATTATTAATATTATTATTTATTTATAATTATATAAAAAAATGACAGAAAAATTAATAGCAAAACAATGAAATTTTATCACAGATTCGTAAGTATCCTATAAAAATTTTGCGATTGAAAATCTATTGATTCTATTATTTTGCATTGATATTAGTAGAAAAAATAGCAAAATTGATGAGAATTCTTATTTAAAATTGAATTTATTGGACTCGCAGAAATTGTATCTTCTGAAATGTGAAAATATATTTTAAATATTTCTTGTTACCTATGGTGACGTCAGAGCTACTATGGGTTTCTAGGAACTTGTTAAGATGCAGCCATACACGCGGCAGCCACTCGACTACTGCTGCCATTTCCGCGTTTCTTGTCCCGGCGCATTCGCGTAGTTCGTGCTCCAGTAATTTCCTTCTCAAATAACGTCCTAGAAATCCCTTGACTGGTTCCATGTGATTTGCACATAATACCCACCTGTTTAATTACATAATTAAAATCTAATTCATTAAGAGATCAATCTTTTATCCCTCTATCGTTAATAATTAAAAAGACTATATATATATATATACAATATATATAC